GTTATTATACAGAGCAAAAAGCTAAATGATGCTAAGGACGGAATGATTTATGCCAGAGACCACAAAAGACATAAATTTAGAGTGTAAATTACAAGATAGCTCATGCGCAAAATTGTTGCAATATTTATATGAGTGTTTATTAAAATTTACATTCGAATAAAGGTGCAAAATGTAAATGAAGCTAGAAAAAGGTCTTTTAAACAAAACAATGAATGAGACTTCAACAACAATCAGGAGAGGATTTTGCAAGAGGAGATAGGAACTGTACTCTCTGTAGGTTTGTCTGCGAAAATACGGACTATGTCATACAAGGGCATTGGAAGGAATAAGGTTTCTCAGCTCAGCCTCAAGGTCTTTTCTCCCTGTCCATCAGTTCTTTCCAGTGATTCAGATCAGGGCTGACGTTGGAAGGAAGCTCTCTGTCAGAGGCCATGAGGGGAGGGTGTGGATTCTGGACAGATGTCGAGATGGGATCTGTCTTTGAAAGGCTAATCTTATTTCACTGATGTTTTCAAGGGTGGAAATTTTTGCTTGTGTTCATTAGAGGAGAATGATCAATCTCAAATTTGTACTTTGCTAATAATACGGATGAGTTTTTGTGCTTCATTAAAGTTAAAGGAATCTCATAGAGTCCTGACTTAGCCTTGAACTCCATGCGTGACCTTGAGAAACATTCTGGAATTTTCTGGGACTCACTATCGTCCTCTGTTGAAGGAAGGCTTGGACCCAAAGCATGGAAGGCAGTGGAGCCTTCTCTCCCCCACTCTTATGAGGGACCATCCTGCCCAGGCCTTGACCCACAAAGGTGATTAAGACACAGGACTCTTGTCCTGAGGAGCTCACAGTCTGCATAAATAACTAATTAGAATCTGAGCTCTAATTGCACAGGCACTCATTACTGTGGGAGCCCTGCGACAGAAACAGTGAGCTTTCACTCTGTGAAGACCTCACAGTGGCAATGACGTTGGAAGCCTGGGCAGGAGGGCTCCTTTAGGTGCAAAGAGCCATCAGAGGGCAGTATTTCCAACCGTGCATGCCGAGGAGCAAATGCAAGGGAGTGGGCAGGCTCCTTGGGCAGTGCCATGGGACTGTAGGTCAATGGCATCCCACACACTGCTGGGTCCAAATTTGTACCTCTGATAGAGTACTGAGATTAGAGGATAATGTAGAATGTGTATACATTAGCTCACAGTCAAGTTGAGCTATGGTCCATTCACATCCAACTTGGCTCTCTGGCACGTGAGAGAATGAGTGGTGTTTTGGTCTGCTATTTTTTTTAATTAATCATTTTATTGGGGGGCTGGTCAGCTCTTTGGAACCCCGAGCCTATGCTATTGTTTCTGGCCTGGGCATCCCCTTGGGAGAGTGATGTTGCGTGCACCTGACTCCTATGGTGTGTGTGTGGTGGGGGGAAGGGGAGTCAGGTGGGTCTCAGTGGATATTGAAATCTGTTGACCCACCAGTGGCAGGTTTCATTGATTCATGTGCCCTGGGCTTTTCATGACTTTGTAAGAGCTGGTGCTTAGCTTTCTGCCTAAGCGCAAAGTAAGATGTTGGCACTATAGTTCTTACCCAGTTTATCAAGATGAAGAACAACAACATTAGCTTTAAAATCCAGGTGCTCTATGCTAAAACATTAAAACAACAGAAATATCACCACACCCTTGAGTTGATTCTGAGTCCTGGGTGCCCCACGTACTTCGGAGTCGAGCTGTGCTTTGTGGGGTTTTTAATGCTTGGGATCTTTTGGAAGTAGGGTCCCAGGGCTTTCTGATGAGGTGACTTTGTGTGGATTTGAACCATCTACCTACCTTTCCATTAGAGATGCTCTGGTGACACTGTTGGGTAAGCTTTGGAAGTGCTAATCAGAAGGTTGGTGGTTCAAACCTACTAGCTACTCCATGGAGAAAGAGGAGGCTCCCATCCAGGTTGACAGCCTCAGAAACCCTACCTAAGGCAGAAATGAATGGGAATTGACTCAGTGACAGTGAACCTTTGGGTTAGTAGTGAAGCACTTAATGATCGCACTCCATGATACTACAAAACAAACAACAAAATCAGATCCCCTCACCTGAAGACAAACAACGTTTCCATGCCTCTCATCACAGACCTTGGTCTTGTAGCACAGACCCCCATGTACACGGATAGATGCAGGAGGGATTATTGCTTTTGACAGCAGCTGGTACTTTCCTTAAAATGGCATTAAAGGCTTTAAATCACGTAAAATGCTTAAAATGGCCACACCATCATCTATTGTTTGCTATATGCTATTTTTTGTCTGGTGCCCTATTGCCAAACAATTAGGCAGTGGCCACTGTTTTGCCCTGGTGCCATAGTGGTTCCGCGCAGGGCTGTGAGCTGAAAGACAGTTTGCACCCACCAGCTGCTCTGAGGGAGAAAGATGGGGCTTCCTGCTCCTGTAAAGAGTTGTAGGGACAGTTCAACTGTGTCACGATGAGTCGGCATCTACTCGGTGGTGAACTTTTCATGTAAATTTTAGTGGTTTGCCAAATCATGCCTTGACGGACACGCTTGTAACCTTCTTTGATCCTTTAGTTATTTCATGAGGCTCAATCCCTAGACGTGGTTTTACTGGGCTAAGGAATGCATGTTTATCATTTCCAAATCCAAACCAAACCCATCGCCATTGAGTTGATTGCAGCTCAGAGCAACACGCTGGGGCAGAGTAGAATTGCCCCATGGGCTTCCCAAGGCAGTGATCGCTATAGAAACAGACTGAGAGCATCTTTCTCCTCCTGGTGATGGCTGGTGGGTTTCAACTGATGATCTTTTGTTAAAAGCTGAGCATTTGACCACTTCCCCTCTATGTCTCCTTCTGTCCCATCCATATGTTCAGAAGTGTCTTGTAGAAGTTTTCTACCCATCTCCAGTCCAAGCAGTGGGGTGGGCACTACCTCGTATCTGCTTAATACTGTCTGTATCCTCGTCTGCCTGTCAGCCTGTAAGCGGGAAAGTACAAGTGGACAAGAGGATGAGATACTTTTGGGGGCCATTGAGAAGCGATTGAAGCAAGGTGAACTCCAAAGCACAGGAGAGACATCATCTGTCCACCCATCAGCAAAAGAGGTGCATGACCCTGACCATCACTATTCCTAATTGTCAGACCCTGGAAACAGTGCAAGTGTCCATTGACATTAAATTGGAGGAACAAGACGATGGCCCCGTCACATGGTAGCATACTATGGAACAGGGAGGACAAGTGGAATCGCTAACCGTGTTGCGGACTCCCACAATTTCTGTTGAGCAAAGAAGCCAGGCATTGGGAAAATGCATAATGCATGAGTCCATTTCTGTACAGCTCAAAGACAGGCAAAACCAAGCGAAGTTATAGCGATTACTCCTTTGGGAGGATGCTAGAGCCCTGCTGGTGTAGGTGTAGGGGTTATGTGTCGGGCTGCGATCCACATGGTCAGCAGTTCGAAAACACCAGCAGCTCCTTGGGAAACAGACTGGGCTTTCTACTTTCGTAAACAGTGACAGTCTTGGACCCCCACAGGGGTCGTGGTGAGTCAGCATTGACTCCGTGGCAGTGAGTTTGGATTTTTTTTTTTTTTTTGAGTGACTAGGGGAACCCTGGAGGGGCTCTTGGAGACAGAATGTTTCTTGATCTGGGTGCTGCTCATGCGAATGTGTTCACCTGCTTATAGAATGATCGTTTGTGGGCTTCAAGGTCAGCACCTGTGCTTCAATCAAAAGTGCATTTAAGAAGAGTCCTGGTTAGCCAGGTGGTCAGGGCAGGTCAGCTGGATTAGGCTGGAATTCCCATTCTTTTCTGTTTGTGGGGGCCCTTTGCCCCTTAACTTTTCCCAGATGAATCCTTCCTCCATCTTGGGGAATCAATTTCAAAGTCATTTCCTTCTGGAAAGTAGTCTGGTCCAGCACCTGCCCTGTGGCCCCGGGGCCCTGCCTTTTGGTTCATGCTTTGTCCTGTGTGCTGGCTGCTTAGGTGCACCTTTTTCAGCACCCTGCACAGGACCTGGAATCTAAACCACAATCAAAACCAAACACAATGCCGTTGAGTCGATGCTGACTCATCGCCACCTTGCAGGACAGAGAACTGCCCCTTTGGGGTTCTGAGACTGTAAATCTTGGTGGGAGGAGAAAGCCTCGGCCTTCTCTGGTGGAGCCCCTGGTGGGTTTGAACTGCCAACCATGTGGGCTAAGCGGATTAGCAGTGCCACCTGTGTTAGTTTTACTATTTAATACTTAAGTTCATACTCCCTCCCCCCGTCCCCTTCCCTCCCACACACACTTTTCCTAACAGGCCTTGACCTGGAATTTGGAATGGAGATTTTGTATTATTAGTTGTGGGTTCTCATGGAGAGAATTCATCCACAAGTTTCGCTTATATGATTTAAAGATGCAACTTTAGTATGTTTGCGGCGTAGCCGCTGTTTATCCTCTTGGTATTGCTGGTTTTCTTGTTGATGAAAGTCAGGCAGCGGAGGCGTGGGCAAGCAGATGGCTTCTGGAATCACAAGGACTCAGTTCTAGCTCCATCCCTTTCTCCTCTGGAGCCTTGCCTGCATGGTATTTCCATCTGGAGCCTCCGTTTCCCCAGCCATGAAACAAGGGTGATAACTAAGGTTGCTGTCAATAATAATGCTGAGTAGAGTGGCCAAAGGGGGTGCGCATACTATGTGCCACGCACTCTTCTAAGCACTTACCATGGGTGGTCGGATTTGTTGGATCTTTTCACTACTCGGGTCAGCTTTGCAGCCGAAGGAGACACTAGGGACGGGGCTAGCAAGTGCAGAGGTAGGATTTAAATCCAAGAAATCTGCTTCCGGCACCCCAGCTTTTCACCACCACCTCCCGAGCTAAAGGACATAGTGCCATAGAGTGTTTAACAGAGTCAGCATAGGTTAGCTATGATTCTCCTTGTCAGGTTCTGCACTGGTATTAATACTTCTTCTTTCTCTCTCTTCTCTCTCCCATCTCTCCCCCCTCCCTCTGCTGGTCTGCTCCCCTCCTGGCAGATGTGTTTCAGCAAGGTAAGTCTCATGCCATGCTGTGGCTTTCAGTTAACCCACCGTGCTCTGTTGGGGACAAGGGGGCAGTGTGCTTGCATTCTCGGCGGAGATGTTGCTTGGCCTTTGGGGACTGTATGGGGACCGTGGGCTGAAGAGGCCTCTTCTGTTCAGCCTCTGCTTCTTGGGTCACACACGTGGGTGTAGGGGAGGAGCTAGAACATTGAGGTGGGATGATTGGGAGGCGTCTGTGCCTGGGCCCCTGGAAGGGGCAGCACTGGTGTGAGACTGGGGAGGAGGAGGGGGGTCTCTAGGATGATGGTTAGGCCTCTTGGTTGGCCGTTGCTTTGGTTGGACTCTATGAGACATCTCAAACGTGGGCAAGACCCTGGCTGCCTCGTTGCTCTGTGTTCTTTGGCCTAGCTATACCTCCTGACCTCCCACTGGGGCCTTGTGGTCAAAGCAGGGCCAGGTGTAGGTGTGTAGTGTTTTGCTATCCCACCGTCGGCCTAAGCTGTGGGGAGCTAGAGGTGGGAAGCTTGAACTGGTGGAGTCTCAGTCCCCATTAGGATGCACAGCAGCTGCTCTCTGCCTCCAGGAAGCGACTGAGAGGTCACAACAGCGTTTAACCTGTTAGACACACATGAAGGGGGCTGGTCTTTTGTTCTGCCTCCCCTCTCCGTTTGAAATGACTTGGTGAAAGTGCCAGGCTGTAGCTGTTTGCGTTCGAGGCGGGCAAGATGTCTATAACACCCGTCTTTCCTGGATCCAAGACTGCCTTCGAATAAAAGAGATGGGTTTAAAAATACACCCAGGCCTCCCATAAATAGCATCCAAATCATCTTCCAGGCTCAATCTCTCGTCCCACCGCTCTGTCACTCTCGACAGGCAGTGTGTTGTGGGGAGGGTGTCTGCCTGAGCCTCCCGAAAGAAGCGTGGCCATGGCTGACAGCGAGGGGCCCGTGGGGCTGCCTTTAAGAGTCTGGAGCCATAGACCTGCTCCTATAAATAATTCCTTGATCCCAACGAGCTGTAAGGAATAAGTTCCATTCGGCTAGAAACGCAGAGATGGGTGCTGTGTCTGTGGGTGTCAGTGCTGTCAGGACCCGTTGTACCCCGAGTGTGCTTGCTTGATAGACCTGGGGTCTCGGGGGCCCTCTGGGACGAGGGTCCACTTTTCCTTTCTTTCTGTGAACCGGAGAACCAGATCCCCCCGCTGCAGAATTATGTTTCTCCTCTAAGAGCACGGAAGACGTGAGCTTGGGGGGCTCTGCTGCCGGAGCAGGGTTTCTCCGCAATGAAGGTGGGGTGGGATGAGGGAAGAAGCAGCTGGTGTCAGAAGGGGCTTTTTGATTTTTAATTTTTAGAGTGTTGCTGTCCTGGGACCCAAAGGGGTTATCAGCTTGCCTGTGTCCAGTCAGTTTCCTTTGTTAATCAGTCATGCCCATCGATGGATGGGCAGCGTCTGTCAGGAGCAGCGATTGGCAGACCACACGCTGTAATCATCGGCAAAGCCTTGGTTACTCAGACTTAATACGTACTGCCTGCTGGAGACAGGAAGCACTTGCTGCCTGTTGCCCTGTGTGCTGGCTGGGCGGCTGGGCCCTGGTCAGAGCTCTGTAAGGTTTTCCGATAGAGAGAACATGACCAGGCTTTCGTGACTCATGTCCGTGGCGCTGGCGTTAGAGGACCATTCCGTATGGAGACAGGTCTCGGAAAGAATGGCGAGGAACTGGCCAGACGGGACCCCTGGCCCTCCCTGTCCCGTGCTTTGGTGTCTGCCATTGGTTCTCCTGTGCCAGGCACGTGCCGTGAAATGGACAGCCTGGTGGAAGACACACCAGTCCAAGCCCTGAAACCTGACGTGGCTGAAACCCCGTGTCAGGACTGTGCTGTGGGCTGGCAAAGGGCAGGCGCTGCGCTGCGATCAATGGGCAGTAAAAGGACACGGCTTCGGGTGGATGGATGCCGCTGGGTGACTCCGAGTGGCATCCTGGCCCGGCTTGGTTTGGTGTGACCGAGGCATCATAGGAAGTTGGCGGGAGGGGGTGGGGCCGATAGCAACAGGGTGAGGGGAAATGATGCTTTGGAAATGCTGCGGTCATCTTGCAGTGAGTACCGGAGGCCCCCCTGGCCAGAGGAGTCTGATGTTTGGCCAGCTGCGCTGAAGAGGGAGGCAGACTTGCGCTGGACAACATCAGACGTTCTCCCAGGCAACCAGAGCTATTTCCTCCCTATCTCGAGATCCTCTGATTCACTGCGGATGCAAATTGTTCCAGCGGTGACAACACCTCGGTGATGCCGGCTTTTCTTCTGTGCTGTCTGCGGTGTGTGCACCTGGCTCCCGTGCCTCGCGTACCTGAGGTCTGGTCTTTCATCTGCAAACACCGCTTGCTATGGTCCATGGGCCACGGGGTAAGAGGGTCATCCAGGACTCGTGGCGTCCACAGCTGGCCTTTCGAAAGTGTGAGTGCCAGACGCCCTGTGTTCAAGAAGCTTTTGTAGACACTCCTGGTTGTGCATGTGTTTGGATGACTCTCAGGCGTGCCTGGGTGCTACAGAAGCGCTCTTGACTGCATCCAACACGATTAAGAATGCTGCCTACCCACCTGTGTCTAGGGTCTCGAGTTTTAGAGCACTTGCCTACCAATCCTTTAATAACGAGGGCATCAGGGCCACACACGCACATGCCTTGTTTGAAGTCACGGAAGCACCCTTTGAATGCTCATCTGTAGGCTGAACCTTGTTTCTGCCAGTGAGCAGAAACTCGAGTGGGCGGCCTGGGAATGAGAGCAACACCACTCAGCAGGACTCGGAAAGCATAAGTGGGCTCAGGATAAAGATCTCATCAGCCAGGTGGTGAACAGACTCGGGGCCCAGAGACCCAGCGCCTGTCATTGCCGTCATCCTCCGTTCTCACCTGGAGCTGAGATCTTACTGCTAGAGACCCTTGTTTTGTTCCCAGCCCCAATACCATACAGTTATTTATTCTGCAAGGGTACATGTGTGTCAGGTCAAAGGCCTTTCTAGGTCAAAGGCCCCCTTTCTCATGAAACATCTAGCCCAGCTTGGAGAGATATTGGGTAGCCGTGTATTTAAAATAAATAAATGCAGAGAGCGTTTAAAGGGGGGTTAAGGAGATGACACAGGGTGATGTACTAGTGACTGGGAGGGGGCACTTTAGATGGGTGACCAGGGGTTGACAAGAAAGACCAGCTGCTAGAAGACCTGGTGGGAGGGGTGGGGGGCAGCAGAGGAACCCTAAAGGAAGAGTCTTTGGTGAGAACAGCCAAGTGACCCAGTGTGGGGACAGGTGTGTGACCTGGCCCGGGAGAGCAGGGCAGGAAGCCCATCATGAGGGTAAGGGAGTCGGTGGGTGGGGGGACTTAGCAGAAGAGACACCCCATCTCTGAAAATGCAAAGGACACACCACACCCAGTGAGGACCTGGCTGAGTGCTGAGTGGGCTCAGCCAGGGCTGGGATGAGCCCCTGCACACAGGTCCTGACTGATTCCATTGGTGGGTCTCTATTCCTTGGCTCAGCCCACTTGTTCTCAGCCAGTGTGCCTCTCCTGAGTACTGCTCTTTCTTGACTTTGCCTCAGGGATATTGAAAGTCATGTGCCTACGGCTCATGTGTCCTCTCTGGCAAATTATGCTCAGGAAGACTGGCCATCCCTGATCCTGGCTGCCCTGAGCACATGCAATGAAAGTACTTCATCCTGGGCCATCCCCACGATGGCTTGTGGATAGGCTCTTGGCGCTCCACGCGGTTTTCAAAGGTGGATTTTCAAAAGTAGATCACTGCACTTTCTTCCCAGGCCACCTGAGTCTGGAAGCACACCTGACACCTGTCCAGAATCACAGCACGTGCAAGCCTCCACTGAGAGACAGGGAGTTGCTGTGTGTGAGGTACATTGTGAGAATCAAATGTAGGGGTCAGGCATAGAAGAAAGATTACTGCATCATGGAACCACGGCTGCTTCTCTCTAATACGTATGTTGTTGTTGTTAGGCGCTATCAGATCCATCCCACTCAGAAAGCAGCTCACTGTACAACAGAATGAAACACTGCCCAGACCTGTGTTACCCTCGCCAGAATTCCTTAGATTCAAATACATTGTTGCAGCCGTTGTGTCAATCCATCTCCTTGAGCATCTTTCTCTCTTTTGCTAACCCTCTACTTCATCAAGCATGATAAAGTAGGAAGCCCTCGTGGCATAATGGGGTAACTCATTGGGCTGCTAACTGCAAGGTCAGCAGTTTGAGACCAGGAGCCTTTCCGCTCCCGTGGAGATTTGCAGTCTTGAGGATTCCACAGGGAAAATTCTCCTCTATTCTGCACTAACTCAATGACAGGGAGTTTGGATTTTTTTTTTATTTGCTTTTTTTTTCAAGTCCAAAGTATGTGAGAGAAAGTCTCTCCATCCTAGCGTCTAAGGAGCATTCTAGCTGTACTTCTTCCAAGACTGACAGCTTGGTTCTTCTGGCAGTCCAACATACTTTCAATATTCTTCACCAAAACCACGATTCAAGGGCCGCCGTTCTTCTAGTTTTCTTATTTGCCATCTAACTTTCACAGGCATGTGAGGCGATTGAAAACACCATGGCTTGGGTCAGGTGCAACAAATCCTCAATGTGACATGCTTGCTTTTCTGTGCTGTAAAGAGGGCTTGTGCAGCAGATCTTCCCGATGCAATACATAGTTTGATTTCTAATACATGTACACATAAGTGTATGTCTGGTCTATGTATCATAAGTGGACATATCTGATACACGCCGTGTCTTAAATCTAAGCTGAATATGTTGTGGAAGTAAGGTAGCAAGTTCACAGTCTCCTCAGAAACACGTGTCCCGCGTTCCCGATGTGATTGCAACTCCTAGTGACTCTGTAGGGGGTTTTGGAGGCTTTGTAAATCATCGCAGGAGTAGACAGCCCCCATCAACCCCACAGTCAGCAGCCACAGGCTTCCCCAAGAGCACTCCCAGGGCTCCCATCCGAAATAGTACAAGCAAAGGGGGTGGG